TACAGAACTGACACAAAAGTTATTTATAGTATTATTACAAGTGATTATAGATACAAGATACCAAGGCGTTCAGAGAGTCGAAATGAATATCGCAGTGTTCACAGATTTTATTGAAGCTACTGCACATAAAATTCAATGGTGATCGTAGCATAATATTTGTGCGTAATGCTTCGCAATAGAATTTCAGATTGTATCGACCTTCACTTCTTGGTACTAAGAAATTGATCTCGGGTAAAAGAACCGTAGTGTCAATATTGTTGTTGAGTAATTTATGCAACAATATGTTATGATGGATGCCTCTCGTGGGGTATTAACCATCAACTTTTAGGAACTTCCTTTGTACGCTCTCAATTGATGTTTTTTGGTAGTCGTAATCCGGATTCCATAACAAAGAGCCATACTCTAACTTAGATCTGGCATACGCAAAATATAGTAATTTTGAGGTGGCAATACCTTTGAAGTTCTTGCCATTTCTGTAAATGAATCCAAGCATCCTATTGGCCTCAACAGTCATATTCCTTATATGTGTTGTAAATGTTAATTTACTGTCGTATGTTATACCAAGATCTTTTTTCTCATGTACGCGGTTGATTGTAGATTTGTTGATTGAATAATCGTACATTAAAGTTCATTTTTTTCTTTTAAATGATATTATTTTACATTTGGATACGTTCAGTTGGAGACGACTATCATTACACCAAAGTTTGATTACATCTAATTCATGTTGTACACGTTGGCAGTCAGTAATGTCGTCGATTTCATAATATAGCTTCAGGTCGTCTGCAAATAGTAGGCTAGGAATATTCAAAGAGGTTGCCAAGTCATTAATAAAAATTAAAAATAAAAGAGGTCCATGGTTGGAACCTTGTGGTACCCCAGATGTAACTACGTACTGGGCCGATTTGAAAGATTCATGTTCGACGAATTGTTTTCTGTTAATTAGATATGATTCAATTAGAGAGAGCAGTTGGTTAGAGAGTCTCAATTTTGTCGATTTGCTGAGAAGAACGTAATGGTCTATTTGATCGAAGGCTTTTTGAAAGTCTGAATAAACAACATCGACTTGTTTTTGCTTGTCAAAGTACGTACAGAGATATTGATTTAAACATGCAAGATTTATTATACATGATCTTTGTTGTACGAAACCATGCTGAGTAGGAGAAATAACTTTTTGAATATGGGAGTACATAACATTTTGCACACATATCTCGAAAAGTTTAGAAAAGTTACATAAAATTGAAATCGCCCTGTAGTTTGTGATATCGTCAGGGTCACCTTTTTTTAATATCGGATACAGTCTTTTATCACAAGACTAGGAACATTGTCAACACCTGCGGAAAGTTTATTTCTTAATTTTTTTGAAGCAGTAATAATATCGATTTTAGAGAAGGCAGGGATGTTTAATGCATCTAAATCAGAATCATGAGAATTTTCACGAAGCATATTCTCGTCCGAAACCAAGTATACACTTCTGAAATACTTGACGAATCCATTGACAATAACCCCAGGCTTATCAAATACCTCATCATCAAGTTTCATTATACCTGTTATACGCGAATGACCTTTTTTACTGCATATGAAAGACCAGAAAGTCGAGCTTTCAGATAAAATATTATTTTCAGCTAAGTTTGTAAATTGACTATATGCTGCTTTTATTTTAGTTTTGACAATATTTCTCAGATCCGAGAATTGATTTTGATAAAATGCTGTTTTATATTTCTTATAGTGTTTATATGCTAATTCCTTTTTTTATATGGCTGATAACGTCGGCGTCGAACCATGGGGGAAATTAACGTGTTTTCAATGTTCTCAGTGGAACTGTTTAAAAGAAGATGCTGTGTAATTTCTGCTATAATAAATCACATGCCGAGTCAATGTCAGTACATTCAGAAACGTCACACCATTCGGTTGTTCTGATCAGTCCATAGATATCTGGAAAGTTTGCTTTGCGAAAATGAAATTGCTTAATAGCGTCTGTTGTATTAATAGTAAAGTCATTAATATGAGGTTGATCACATTTCGAGACGATACAATCGTCACAGTTGGTTATTACTAGATCCAGTTTGCGATTATTAATATATGTTAACGAGTTGTACTGTTGAGATTCAGTTGCTTGCATAAAGTTGAGGATGTACTGAAATCTGGTATCATCAAAGTCTATATCATATTTAGGGATATTGAAGTCACCAATTAATAGAAAATTCCCATTAGTAACACAATCAGAGCTCTCCAGAAAATCGAATAATGTTTCATAGTGAATATTGGAGCAACAAGGGGGTATATAAACTACAATGATATTCAGAGTAAAGCTGCCAAGTACTAATATGGAGCCTACAATAACAACTTCAGGCAGTGTGTCTCTTAGATCCAAAAATGAAATTGGTAGCAACCTATAATTATCTTTGGACGCCAACAGGACACCACCTCCTTTAGTAATATTATCAGTTACTAGATCTCAATCACATCGGAATACATTATACATTGATGGGAAGATTTCTTGATTGAACACATTGTCCTGAAGATCAATCTCTGATAGGCAGACCATATCCATTTCTCCACTAATAGTATATGAAGAGACTGTGCGAATTGTAGCTGAGTACCTGATCTAGTTTAAATCAACGATTTTTGAAAATCCATTGAAGTATTCAATAATGAGAGTAGGATATTTGAGCCGGTTCTAGGCCTCCTCCCACCAATATGACGTCACGTGGGGTGAATGACCTAGACCGACTCATGCCTCCCCCCACCACTATGACATCATTAACGACGTAATGGTATGATTAGGGTGACCTTGAACGACATGTCCAACTCATGCCTCCCCCACCACTATGACGTCACGTGGGGTGAATGACCTAGACCGAATCGTGCCTCTCCCCACCACTATGACGTCATTAACGACGTAATGTTGTAATTAGGGTGACCTTGAGGGTTGGTGTGTGTATGTGTGTGTGAATGCACGGTATAGGGTTTACCATGTGCGTGTCTGTATACAAACATACGTCTGCATACTTCAAAGATCCTCCAAGTAATGAATGTTCCATCGGTATGAGCCCACCAAGTTAGTAGTGGTGTGACGTCACAGCAGCAGCAACCGTTCAATGTTAGGAGAGCGAGATGTGCACTCCACGGCGTGTGGATGTGTAATGCATATTCATCAGTGTGTCCTTACCTCTCTCGATCCCGTCCCCCACCACTTGATACCCCCACCACTGGACACCCCCACCCTTCAACCTCCACCACGACGTCACAGAGTGGAGGGGGGAGGGTCATTCACCCCACATGACGTCATAGTGGTGGGGGGAGGCCTAGAACCGGCTCAAATCTCTTACTAATGAAGTTATTTTCTGGATGAAGCGGGGAGAGGGAAGAGGGGATAGATGAAAGTACTCGAATGACCTATAAATAGTCAGATCTTGGAGTACGTCGATGGGTCGGGAGCTCGGCGTCGTCTACATGCAACGTGCATTGAACGACCTCGAGTGCTGGTACCTCGAATGGAAGATCCAAGTGAACCCGGAAAAGACTCAGGTGATAACCATGGGAATATTGCTATCTTCTCCGGCCAGAAAAGTGAGAATCTCTGGAAGGGAGATTGACTGGCAAGCGCGGGTAAAGTACCCCTCATGTCCCCCGTTAACGGATGAACAGATTTTTCATCCATCCCACCCCAGCAAGGTAGGGGTACCCCGTGAAGGGCGGTACTGATGTCTGAGGACTTTTCATATCGTCAACATCTCCTCAGTCATGAGCCTATTTGTATTTCTAACAAGCTGAAGCTGGGCTTCAACCTGAATGAATTGAAGACGCTTGGTCGGCCGAATAAGTCCAATCATCACCCGAAGACGATTGTGGATACTAACAATCGAAACATCGTGAAGTAACTTGGCTTGGAATCTTTGATTTTCAATTTCAATTTCTTGTTAATAATTTATAATTTTCATTTCTTGTTAATAGTTCAATTTTCAGTTGTTGCTTGTATTTTATTTCATTGTAATTTCAGTTGAAGGTTTTTTGCTTGATATAATTGTTATTTTCAGCGAATTGTTCTAGTTTTATTGATTATTTCNTTTATAGATTTTTTCAGGGGTTTCAAACGAATTTATATCATATTAGACAATGGAAGTCCGAACTAATGAAATTCACCACGGAACATTGTCAACCAGCTTCAAAGAAAACTCAACTCTTATTATTCATTAGGATCAATAACAGGACTAGGAACAGGGGAATCTGGCAATATTATTCACTGATGATAGACTGAAACATGTCGAAAGCGTTTACCTCCTCTTAGGTTCTTGGAGAGGGAAATATTATCTTCCGGATCACAAATGAACATTTGAAATCAGAAATGACCTTTCACAGATACTTTCACGAATCCTAGCCACTGAGTCAGATTGGATGTATATGAAAATGAAAATTTTCATGACAATAAAAACCAAATATCTAAAGTTTCATGTATCTCTCTGTTGATATCGTGTGTTCCCAACACATTATTTTCGTCAGCCTCAATTCAAATATTTTCAAGTGCATTATATAAAAATCATAAAACATAACATAGGTAATAGCTGTGTATATCAATTGCATTCCACTGTGTTTACTATAAGTGTTTTAAATTGTTATAAATGAAGTGTTGAAGAATAAATAACGGAACAAGGAGGGAAGTCATTTTAATGCGACACCTTCCGTCCTACCCAATAACTTGAGATGATATTTGGAGCTGAGTAATTACTTTTAGAGAGGCGAGAGTTTGAAAGCAGATTGAAAGTCTCTATCAGAAGAAAGGATTCAGGTTTAAAAGCTATCATAACGTCAGGTACTAATGTAAAGTGGAGTGAATTCTGAAGTGGGTTTTACGTTCGTTTATTCATTTCATCGAAAATCTTTATTAGCTTTCCTCCTGAATGATACGTGATATTGTGAAACCGAAACATCGATTTACGAGGATTCCATTACGCGGTTCTCCAGCATGATCACCTCTCAATTACGCTATCTTGTCAACTTACCATTTTCCAAAGTTCCTTCGATTTTGGGACATCCCATTGTTGCATTAGTTCCAGGTTGAGTAGAAGGCCAGCATTTCCATTTGTCGCACACTTCCGGGCACCATCCTGAAAGTTAATAACTCATAAGCGTTTTGTTCCACAAATACAATACAAAATAAAAAATTAATTAATCAATTAACTCGCTGAGACCTACCTTTTACAAAAAAAGTTCTTTAATTAGATAATTGTATCAGTTGTTTTCACACCGAGTTGACAACAATAACAACAAAAAAGGCGTCTGTCAAATTGGATCATCAGATCTGTGATTGGATATTAAAAACCAATACACTTGGCAACTCCGCTTAAGACACGATCAATTTTATTGGTCAACAGACACGCGGCCAATTTAAATTCTTGCTTTTCGAATTGTTTTTTTCTCTGCAAATATAAAGAGATCTTGGGACCGATTGGGTTTGATAAATATAATATACCCCTAACTCGATCAGTCTATAAGCAAACCAGTATCATTTTCCATAGCATGAAACAAGCCCATTGTATGATTTTCACTATAAATAGTTTTACAAAAACCGCGAAACGTGTTTCGCTATAAAATAGCTTTCTCAAGCGTAAAATGATGTGAAATACCACAAGGCCAAAAAGCCGATACTGGCTTTCTTGAATAATTGAATAGAACTAGCCGATATATAATGAATATCCATATTGAAACCCATCAATTCAGTTCATTGTATGATTTTCACTATAAAGGGTTTTACAAAAACGATAGAGAATCTATTGGACGGAAATATCAATCCAGTAGAGAAAAAGGAAATATTAAACTTGTTTACGGTTTGTTTGTCACAGAATCACTTCCAATTCAATAACATTTTTACTCATCCTGCAAAGGTATCATAATGGGAACAGTTAGTCCTATTCTGGCAGAGATGTTCATGGACAATTTGGAGAAAAAAATGCACAGTTACCCACTGGTAAGAATTTTCGTGTATTGGTATAGATATGTGGATAATATCTTGGTATGTTTCACAGGAACGGACAGACAGTTGAGTAAATTTTTGAATTTCATCAATTCTCTCCACCCTTCTATCACATTCACTATGGAGATGGAAAAAGACGACTCTATGAATTGTTTGGACTTGGCAATAACAAAAGTTAACAACAAACATGATTTTTCAATTTATCGTAAACCGGCACATACAGATATTATCATTCATAATTCGTCCACCCGCTCGTATTAGCACATAGTAGCAGCTTTCAACAATATGATCCACAGACTGAAAAATGTGCTCTTGTCAGAGGTAGAGAACTGAACATAAAACAAATAGCCGTGACAATGATTACGATAGCAGTCTAACACACTATTCATTATCAAAAAAGTTATACAGCCAAGCTTTGAAAGAAGTTTACCCAATTCGAAGAGAAGATGATGAAAGTTATTGCTTAACCTACTTAGGCCAACTTACTACAAATATTTCATATTTTCTGCACAACAAAGGTGTAAATATTGCTTTCAGAACCAATAAAAACATAGGCATGCACATTAAGAATAACAAATATTAAAGTTTATTTTCAGAAAAATCGGGAGTGTAAGTATAAATTATCATGTGGGTCATGTCCGAAGTTTTATATAAGTCAAACTGAAAGAACATTCAAAGCCTGCATGAAGGAACACAAAAATAGTTTCCAGAATGGAAACATAACTTCCACATTTAATCACAGAGGGACATAAGTTCAACCATGAATTCAAGTCCATCCATTTCCAGAAGGAAGGTTTGAAACTAGAAACCTGTTGAAGAGTATGGAAATGAACAAATTCATAAACTCTCGAAATGTTATGAACGATCAAACTTAACTAAATAATTCCCCATCATTGAATCTGTTCATCTCCAGGTCAGAAAAAAGTATACTTACGCTACTTTCGAAAAAAAATTTTCATATAGTTATTGAATTCATACCTGACCTTTTCAGATTTTTTCAAAGAGAGAAAGTAGGCTTTCTACTACTCCATCTGATACAAAAAAATGGATGAGAGAATCTTCCAAAGAAAGGAAGGAAGTAATCAATTTGAAAATAAACTCTATACATGGATGTGTAGATCATGCAAAGAAGTAACTTTCAGACACAAACTGAAAGAAAGTCCTCCTGAAACAGCTACTTTCATATAAACATTGAATTACACGAAAGAAAAAAATTCTTTCGAAACAAATACTTCTATATGAACAGTGAATTATACAGAAGAAACTTTTCTCTACTCAGTTTGTATTTCAAACATTCGTTGTGGAATAAAAGATGGAGTAGTAGAAAGCCAAAAACTTTCTTTCCAAAAATGAATCACTCCTAAAAATATAACCCCTTCAATTCAGATTTGATTGTCTTTACAATCAAAAGAATAGATCAATTGAAATAACCGTTGGGAAACAATTCAACATTGTATATTAGACCAAGTTCGTGTGATAGACTTTCTCGCACTACAATCGCGGAATACAATAATTCTAGAAGATGATAATTGTACGACCAGCTGTGAGATGTATTATTGCTATATTAAAATATATAAGTCAAAATATAAAAAAAACGATAATAATATCAATCACACTTCCAATATTATAATTTGCTTTTCGTTGTAGCAAAAAGGTAACCCGTTTTTGTTGGTAACTTTCACCTCTTGTGTTATAGACGGAAGAGCTTTTCAATTTGCAAATCTCATACACCATTGAATTAGATCACGTTGCGTTCGGTAACCAATAGATCACTTCCATTGAGGAAAGTGAGAATTGTTAACGAAATGAAATGATTCTCATATTGGAAATTCGCAAATTCTGAAGTTAGACAGAATTCTTCTATTCGCAAGTTGAGTTCAATTTCATATCCTGTAATCCATCAGAATTTCCAACAAGTTTCTATTCACTTTTCAAATTTTCATGGTAAGTTCGTCATGATCAAATCTAGGACCCCTACTATTCAATATGTTCATTAATGATATCGTAGCTGAGATTGATGTCAATTTCCTTTTATACTCAGATGACTTGAAACTCTATCACAATATAACATGTTCTAATGATTGCGAACGTCTCGCCCTAAATTTAAATCGCGTTGCTACATGGTGTCGAAAAAATAATCTATCTCTCAACATATCGAAATGTAATGTAATGTCTCACTCACTAAAAACCAACCGAAATTTACACAACTACGTAATAAACAATCAAGTTCTGGAGCGTCCTGACACACTCACTGATCTAGGTGTTACTTTTGATTCATCCCTCTCTTTCAATAAACATATTGACACTACTCTAACAACAGCTTATCGCATGTATGGATTCTTAGTTAGAAATACAAAAGACTTCGAAGAAGCTTCAGCACTGAAATTACTTTATTTCACTTTTGTTCGATCTAGGCTGGAATATGAATCTGTCGTGTAGAGTCCCCACTATCAGGTTCATATAAATCAACTAGAAGCCCTACAGAGGCGCTTCCTAAACGCTTTTAAACTTGAAGGCACGTATCCTACTACAGGAATACCCTATTGTGAATTGCTTGTAACTCACAATTTTTGTAGTCTCGAGGTGAGGCGTAAATATTATTCATTTTTTTCTTTATTCAGGGCCGTAAACAATATCATCACCTGCTCTCAACTGTTACATATGTTGAATTTTTGGATTCCTAGATGGTCATCTAAGAATACTGTCACATTTTATCTCAACACTCCGCGTACAAATATAATGAAAAAATCTCCAATTTATACAATGTGCGATACCTCTAATTCTGTTAGTCGTGTCCTAGATTATACAAATCAAAAAAATTTTTTTAGCTAACTGACAGTTCTGTTTTTATTTTTTTATATAGATTCACATTGTCATTGTTACTCCTTATTATGTAATTGGGTTCATCCTGTAGAATAGTTTATGAAATAAATAAATAAATGAATAAAATGATCGCTTATTTGCAGAGAGCAACTTCACCCTCACCGATTTTGAAATACCATCATTATCATTTTGTGGAGTGATAATTTCTCATCTGTTTCTGTTTCTGTTTTTCCGTTAACCAGCTGTCGCACCCCTACGAACGATAACCCTCAGAAGTCGAAACTTGTGCGAGCTAAGGACTAACAAGGTTAAATCGCGTCGTTACTTAACGCGTAACGTTACAATACTTCAATATTTCAATTACTCTATTTTCGACGTTATAGCATTGTTATACATAAAGTTCATTCTTTTCAGCTAATTTCTTTCATCGATCTTGGAGAATTCGATCAAAACTTTATTATGACGAAAGAATATTGAAAAATCTTCATAGGAAAGATTCTTCTTTGAATCTTTGTAATTGTCATCAAAGTGATCACTATTGGGGATAAATTCCATGACAGTTCAGAAAAAATGAAGACAAGCAGGCTTTTTCTTGTCAAACTTGTTCCATCTTGAGGTTATTTTATCTGCAGAAAACTTCATATTTCATTTTTAGAAGTTCGCAATACTTGCTCCTTCTCACTTCGCATTTCTATTGATGTATGATTCATATCTCGACCCTCCTATCATAATAATACCAATTTTCTCGCTGTCGTAGAGTTTAAAAGTCACATATTACCGGGAAGTATCGGATTTCACAGCTTGCAAATCCTTCCAAGCGCTCTGATTATCTACTGCATTCGATCCAATACGCATATCATGTTCAACATGTAATTCCCACAGAATTATGATGGAATCGGCCGATACTTGATGAAAATCCATAACTAACGTATTCCAAAAACACTTTATTGTGAGATTTTCACTAAATTTAGTGAAAATCTCACACTTTATTCCAAAAACACTTTATTGTGAGATTTTCACTAAATTTAGTGAAAATCTCACAATAAAGTGTTTTTGGAATACGTTTCCCACAGAATTGTATAGTTAACAGATTAGATTCCATCAGGTCTATCCCATCCATATATAGTTGAAGTTGAATTCCAATCGTTCGTAAAATCTAGCATTGGAATTATTTTCTATTGAAACATTCACAACTAACGGTAATAATTCGGTAAAATTACAAACCGAGTTTCAAATTATGAAACCAGAATCGTTGTCATTCCAAAAGTATTCATTTCAAAGTTGGAATTTGCAAATATGAGCACTTTGTTT